GAGGCAGGCCGGGTCCCTCTGCGAGGGGGGAAAAATCTCTGATCTCAGCCAGAAGAAGCCGCTCTGTGTCGTCAGCTGAGCGGAGGAGGAAATCCAGGCTGCCCCTACGGAGGAGCCGGTCAGACTCATCCCCAGAGGTGAAGCAGAAATCCAGGAAAGCGTCAAGACACAGCCGCTCTACATCATCCCCTCGGCTACAGAAGAAAACCAGATCACCCAGGCGGAGCCGCTCTGGCTCATCCCCTCGGCCAAAAAAGAAATCCAGATCATCTCGGAGAAGCCGGTCGGGGTCATCTCCAGCACTAAAGAAGAAATCCCGAACGCCACCCAGGAGGAGGAGGAGGAGGTCTGGATTGTCACCAGCACTCAGAAAGAAATCCAGATCACTGCCTAGAAGAAGCCGCTCAGGATCATCTCCAGAAGTGAAGAAGAAATCTAGATCGCCGCCAAGACAGAGGAGGTCAGGATCTTCTCCACTGGCAAGAAGGAAATCCAGATCGCCGCTGAGACGAAGCAGGTCTAGGTCCTTGCAAGCGTTGAAGAGGAAATCTAGATCGCCCCTGAGACGAAGCAGGTCTGGTTCTTCTTTAGCATTGAAAAAGAAGTCTAGATCGCCCCTGAGACGAAGCAGGTCTGGGTCATCTTCAGTGGTGAAGAAGAAATCTAGATCGACCCTGAGACGAAGCAGGTCTGGGACCCCTTCAGTAGTGAAGAAGAAAACTAGGTCACCCCTGAGACGAAGCAGGTCTGGATCCCCTTTAGTGAAGAAGAAATCCAGATCACCGCCTGTAAGAGGCCGAGCTGGATTATCTCCAGTGGTGAGAGAGAAATCAAAATCGCCACCAAGACGAAGCAGATCTGGATCATCTCCAGCAGGAAGAGAGAGATCGAAATCGCCCACAAGACGAAGCAGGTCTGGGTCATCTCCAGTGGGAAGAGAGAAATCGAAATCGCCCATAAGACGAAGCAGATCTGGATTCTCTCCAGTGAAATCGAAATCGCCCCCAAGACGAAGCAGATCTGGATTCTCTCCTGCAGTGAGAGAGAAATCGAAATCGCCACTAAGACGAAGCAGATCTGGATTTTCTCCAGTGGTGAGAGAGAAATCGAAATCGCCCCCGAGGCGAAGAACATCTGGATCATCTCCTGAGGTGAGAGAGAAATCTAGATCCCCTCCAAGACAAACCAGATCTGGATCATCTCCAGAACTGAAAAAGAAATCCACATCTCCCACTACAAGAGGCATGTCTGGCTCCTCTCCTGGGCTGAAGAAGAAATCCAGTTCTCCTCAAAGGCAAAGTAGGTCTGGATCGTCACCAGCAGTGGAAGGAAAATCTAGATCCCCTCTAGGGAAAAGTAGACTTGGATCCTCTCCAGAACTGAAGAAGTTGTCTAGGACGCCTCCAAAACACAGTGGTGCCGAGCCTCCTTCAGTGCTGGAAGAGAAAGCTGGTTTGCCTCTAAAATGCAGCCAGTCTGAATCCTCTCCAGAACCACTGAAGAAATCCAGAACACCGCCCGCAAGGAGCAGGTCTGGATCCTCTCCAGAACTAAATGATAAATCCAGCTCACCGCTCCCAAGACACAGCCCATCTGGATCCCCTCCAGAACTGACAAAGAAATCTAGATCGCCTCCAAGATGTGCTAGGCCTGATGTCTCTCCAGTGGTGAAAGAAAAATCTAGATCTCCCCAGCCATGGCAAAACCAATCTGGATCCCTAGAAGTGACAAAGAAATCCCCATCACCACCCATGAGAGGGTCCTCAGCAGAGCCCGCAAAACCCAAATCGCCTCCCTTGCTGAGTGGATCTGGATCATTGACACTGAAAGGCAAGGCCGGTTCCCCCCCAAGACACAGCCGATCTGGGTCATCTCCAGGGTCAGGAAGCCGACTCGGAGCAGTTTCAAAACACAACAGGCCCCTGGCTTCTCCGGAAGCTAAAGAGGTGGGGAAGGTGTCAGCCTCTCAGGTCAAACCAGCATCTCCTGAGGCAAAAGACAAATACAGTGTGTCCCCAAGAAGGAGCAGACTGGGGATGTCGCCTGGTGTCCTAGAGAAATCCAGAACGCCTCCGAGCAGCTCAGAGTCTTCCCCAGAGCAGGCAGAGATATCCCGTTCGCCGCCCCGGCCCCGGGAGAAGTCTCGTTCGCCGCCCCGGCCCCGGGAGAAGTCTCGTTCGCCGCCCCGGC